TGATACTGCAGAACTCGTCAGTCCAAATCGTAGACAAATTTTAGGAGAAAAGTCAGGTGGCAAACCTATGTTTCCGGTAATTCATAATCAGACCACTGAAATTATATGGAAAATGAACTTGTGATATATGAACAGGGTTTATACGTTTAATGGAGGGAATGGTTAAGACCCACCTGTCATTCCAACGCATTCTGCATGTCAGAGTCTGCACGCTGCAGACGGTGGAACTGGGGGAGGGGAAAGGGAAGGGGTTTGGAGAAGGGTCAAACGCTGCCTGTAGGTCAAACACGGCACACGCGGTAGATGAACTGGATCAATACGGAGGTTAGATCGGAGTCCGACAGGCGTCGTCGGCAATGCGCAAACATAACAAATGCCAACATTGGGGTGTGCTGGCACGCCCATTTGCCGGTTCATTCTCTGACAATTGGGATCCGTGCCGTCCACAGTGTAGTGGTACGCCTAGGTGCGGATTTTCGCTACGTCAACCGCCTGCGTCCTCTCCCATCCCCGGCCTTCTGGACTCTGTCTTGACCCCAGATTCGGGTGGGGGAGCAGGAGAGAGCGTAGTAGATGCTCGGCAAATCTATTATCACTTTAAATTTATTCGCTTACATGTCGCTGTCCCTGTTTTACGCTGCTGCGCAGCACACGGTGGACATCGTCGCCAACGACGGTCGAGCTTTCACTTGTTTCATCTCTAGTCGGTAAGGCAACGTTTCGTTTCAAGCACGTGACTAATGTCCTCCAGAGCAAAGACATGAACAGAATTCGTTTGCCGGGTGACTAAGTTTTTGTCTGATTTTATATGGTTTGTTCATTTGCCACGACATGCATTTGGGCAAATCAGGCTCTGCCATCCGTTTCCTCCTCTAGGCTTTAAATTTGGGACTACATTTTGAGTATTAAACAAAAATGCACCACCTAACTCAACTATTAGAGAAATTAAATTTATGTAGCTATACGACTTTGTGTTCGCTGTGATCCTGCTATCTTCATGTAAATGCTAGTTAACTTGTTTAGAAGATGCAGCATACCTTATTCTAAGAATCCAAAAGCTTGACAGAATCTGGGCTTCCGAAGAAGGCAACAATATGCTAAACGTAGGGGTATGAAAAGAAACAAGAACGTGCGATCACCATAAGTGTAGTTGTATTAGTCAGAGGTTTCGGACTCGTACAGGGGCCCACCTTTGGAGATTACCAGGGTGCAAAAAAACTGAAAAGTCAATGAGGGAGTGGGAAACAGCAGGGGAGACGATGTGGCTGGATCCACGCCACCTGCCTCACAGCGATTTCTCGATGAGGTGACCGAATGCATACACGGATGGGGACCAGACCACACCATCCGGACGCTTTAAAGAAACGCATGGTAATAGGACGGTATACTCAGGTGTCTGTTTCTGGAATTGGTCAGACCCGAGTCTTCAACAGTTCTTGCCCGATCTTATTGTAGGTCCGCGTCATTATCCGTATGCTCGCGAAATGGAATTTTCTGTCTTCCTGGGTGTGGCTAGCGCCTTGGGGCTCGGGCCACCTCTTTGTACGGTCCGTTTGTGCCCCAGAATCTGCGAGTTAAGTCGTCGTGCTGTCCGGCCTGTATGATGGCAATGACTGGTGTGGCGTGGCATTCTGCAAACTATACTCGACCGCTTGCCTGTGTCCTGTTGGTCCTTCCTCGGCGTGATTCTCGTACGCATGGTAGCTGGCGGGCCATGTGCGATACCCAGGTCAAACTCTCCAACAGTGGATTCCGTTGTTTCTGATACCTTCTCCATATGTAGTGGAGGATACCGCAGTGTTGGCGACTCCTTTCCGCATGTCTTTCTTGGGCATACACGAAAGAGGCGTCTGGGGAAGTTGTCTGGGTAACGGTTTCCTGCTTTTGATAATGGGGATGCCCTGATTCCTGTACCCGTCACTGCGGTCCGCTAAGGGGAGTTTTTGCTTTACGAGTGAACGCCCTAAGACAGCCGTATTTGTGCTCCATCGGGTGGTTGCTGTGATAAATTAGAATCTGTGTTGTGGTAGGCGCCTTTCTATGCGTCGTGGTAGCATCATCGGTCTCGGTGACGAGAACATCAAGTGTGGACATCTATCCAGCCTATCCAGCACGGATTCGTAGTATCTGACAACGGCCTTTTCCCGGCTCTTGTAGTACCGATTCTGCAACTGGCCTAGTAACTGGAAACCAGTCGATGTCCCTTCGATCTGCCTATGTATTCTGCCATTGGATGTTATAAATTTTGTTGACATAGTGCTAAAGGTGTAATTTGGTCTAATGTTCATTGGCTTGTAAACACTGCGGGTTATTTTGATGTTAACCCTCAGTATTTTATTCAGTCGTTTTCGATGTACTCATGCTAGATCACGTAGAGGCTGAAAATTTTTAGGTAGTAATTAAACGGTCATCTAGAGTTAAAAGATGTATGAGTCGGTCAATAGTATCCCCCAGTCTTGGCGCACATTGCATGCAACGAGACATTGATCTGCTTGTACATTGTATCAGATAACTGATACTTTAACTTTCCCTGTCGTATCTTTATCTGTTCAATCCAGCACATCCATCCTCTTTGTCCACTTTAGACTGGGCGAAAGGACGCACCCTGCCATTAGATATATTTTACGAGAGATCGAGAAACGAAGAAGACCGTTGAGACACAGGTTAAATATTTCAGACTTTCAGCAATTCGGTCAAAGGCCATTTACCAAGACTATCCTATGTGCTTCATTTCGGACCAAAAATATCCCAGTAGAAAACATTCCATCCTATGCATTTCAAGTCCCAGAATGAGTCTACTGTACAAAAAGGAGCATTGATACCTGCTCGGTCCGCCATCTTATTATCTGGTTAGAGCATACAGTAATTATGCAAGGTGTCCAGCGAGTTCCATGTGCAACCCTGCAAAGGGGCGGCTTAGTGCTGCAATACCTACACTACAGTCTGACTTTAAAATATACTTAAACTAGTAACCTGTCCACTTTTTGTCTTTTAAAAATGATCCTCAAGTCACTCCTTCAGGAGCTGTCCCCTGGTGACTCCGTCCCTCAAAATTATCGGCTGTTCAATGTGTTCTTCGGCGCTTAATCCATTTTTGTTTTTATTGACCCTCCAACATCCATCGACATCTAACAGTCGATCTGAGCGGTAGCGCAAGGCACCATTACCATCACCAAGACCGACTCTACATCTCCTGACCTATCCTGCACACATAGTCACAACACATCCACCCCACGCAGCGGCCCGGTCGATCACTTGCGAATCCATCGCACGGAGACTAGCGAACAACTTGGAGCGCCAGCATACACAAGACGCCGCCACCCAAACTGCCCACATTGACCACTCACATTTACTCACCGCATGGGTTTTTAGCGGGTCTAGTTAATCGATAACGCGATCCCACGCCAAGACCAAGTCGAGGAAAGCCAAGCGAAACGGTTACACCAAAACGGACTTAACTGTCAACGTCGCCCAGTGAAGAATAAAGGCAGTGAGTGAAAGGTCACTTTGTGAAACCGAAACTCACACCAGTTGGAGTCTCCTCGTAACTGTTGCACAAACACCAACGTAAATAAAAGTGAATAAATGCGAGTTTAGCAAATGCTTTACACATAGAATAACTATGAAAATTAGTGTATAAACAAAAATATGACAAAGGACTATCACAGTACCCCCCCCCCCCGCCTGGGCCGAAGGTCGGCGTAAAAACGACGCCGAAGGTAAATTAGGCGTTAATACACTTGAGTGATAAGGCGGTCGGGGACTTGGAAGCGGCGGCCACTATGAGTGGTGCGAATGCCAGTGGCATTGGAAGACTTAGGGTCGGAAGCGGTGGAGAAAAGTGGGGTAGGAGAGGGTTGGGAAGGTGGAGGATCACGTAGTAAGGGGGTTAGCACAGTCTTATCCTTGAGGCAGGTCCGGCGGCACCTCAGCGACAGCTGCCTTTACCCGATCGACACTGACCACGTCTTTCCTGTCACCGCGAAGGATCCGGCAGGTCTTCATGTTGCCTGTGTACACATGGACCGGTCCTTCGTATGGTGATTCCAGCGGCTGGCGTACACGGTTACAGCGGAAGACCACATGAGTGCAGTCGTCCAAGCCTTTTTCGGCATAAGACTCGGTCGTTAGAGTTCGAGGCGGAACCGGGGAAAGCGAACACAGAAGTTGCCGCAGACGGTAAACAAAAATGACGTGGGCACCACGAAGGGTTGGGTTAACCACCTCGCCTGGCAGTTGGAGGGTAGTGCTGAAAACCAAGTCGACTGCACTACAGCCCAAATCCGACTTCAGATCCGCGCGAGTGTCGAGGCGTTCAAGGGGGAGGTCGTCTGACCAGTTTCCCGGGCCTTCTGCGGGCTGCAGGATAGGCTTTAACTGACTATGGAAACGTTCAACCATAACGTTGGCAGCTGGGTAGAAGGCTGTCGTCCGAACGCATGTGCAGTCAAGAAGACTGAGGAGCGTTTGGGAGAGCGCTGATTCAAATGGGCACCACGATTAGTCGTAACCGTGGATGGGGCACCGAACATGGTGACCCAACGACTGACAAAAGCCCTCACGATTGCTTCGGCCAGCAAATTCGACAAAGAAATGCCTTCAGTCCAGCAGGCGTACTGATCAACGCAGGTAAGAAGGTGATTATAGTCATTGGATGGAGGCAAGGGGCCTAAAACATCCAATTAAACATGACTGAATCATGCGTCGGGACTGGGAAAAGAGCCTGTTGTGGCGCCGCAACTTGTTCCGCTGGCAACTCAGACACGACAGAGCCCAAGCTGTGACGTCCTTGTTAATGTCAAGTCAGACGAACCTTTCTACAAAGAGCTTTTGAGAGGCTCAGATCCCACGATGAAAGAGTTCATGGAGAGTTTGAAAAACAGCCCGACGCGTCGAGGCGGGCAAAAAAGGACGATGAAAAGGAGTCGAGACGTCACAAAGTATGGCGCCAGTACCAGTGATCAGAGAAACGTGTTTGAGTTGGAGACCACTAAAAGACTCGTCTTCAGAACAACCGACTCGCTGTTGCTCAGCCGCCATGGCGCAAAGATCGATCCCGTGTGAGAGTTGGAGGGAGGACAGTGAGGGTCTGGACAGCATATTGGCCACCTCATTCTTCGTACCTCCAAATTGGCGGATGTCGGTGGTGAACTGGGAGGTGTAGTCCAGGCGGGCGAACTCCATCGGATTGTACTTGTCGGAGTGGGAACGAAGAACAAAAGTCAGCATCTTGTGGTCCGTGAAAACAGCGAAGTCACGACCTTCAAGGAAATGCCGAAGATGCTTCACAGCTAGGTAAATTCCAAGTATCTATATCCACAAGAATAAACTTCCCACAAAAAATGTTGCTTTATGCATGAAGAAAAAGGCTTTTATGACGCTCTTTCGGTAGAAAGTAACTTCATAAGCTGAAAATGATAGCCTTCTCAAGAACCCTCTGAGAGCGGAGATTTAGACAAATACTTTGAAACGATGACGCAAATAATGACTACTTTTAGAGGAGCAACTCAGCATTTGCAGAAGCTTTAGATGCATTGTTCGTCAGATAATTCGTCTTTCTCTCCTTGCATGTAGTAGAAACGAGGAACGAGAATGCAAAATCGAAGAACGAGCGGCCGCACTATTCTCCCTAAGATAGGCCACATTTCAGTTTTTGATTTTCTGTAAACTGAGAGACTGCCGATTGGTAGGTGAACCGCCACCTCTGTTATGGTGACGGTCATCTTACTAACCAGTCTGCGAAGTGCTTTCCAAACCTACGTAGACGTATTCCCCGCTACCCATTAGGGCTACTTCCGAATTGTACGAGGCCCCCAGAAGAGTTCTCGGATCAGCTGGCAGTTGCGGCGCGGCCGGTCTAAGTAGATATAACAATTCTCGCATAAGGGAGAATGTTATGTTGTTTCTGAAGGCCCACTCACGCACATTCGTGACAGAGATTACCTACTTCAACGATAATTGTGCTGTTGGTTTCTGTGTTTTACTAGCATCCTATGTGATTACGTATTACTTCCTTTACCGGCGTTGAAGTCTGCCCTTCGTGTTCCTCCGATTCAGGTAAAGTAGGACAACTACACAAAGCCGTTTGTGAAACATTTTCAAGCACCCGTCGTTTGCGCACCTTCACTTCAATTTTTCTAAATATTTCGTCGCCATATCGCCTACGTCGGCGTCCTTTTGTTCTCTCTGACTCCTCCTTAAACATACTGACAATAGAAATAGAGAAAATAAGCAGATAGATGGGAATAACAACAAAGAACAAAGAGTAAACAGTAACGCCACAGGTTCCACGCTGTCGTCACGAGACAATGGCGTGCACGCGTAAGCGGGCGATTTTGCAATGTAGCGGCCGAAGACGTCAAGGGTAGCACACACCAAGGTAGCGCAGCGCTGGGAAGAGATCCTGACTAATATCGATCCGAATAGAGTTGCTAGCATGTCACAATACTCATCGGCACGTAAGAGAAAAAGGAACGTCAAGTAGGCGACGAATATAATGGGAAGGGATAGGAATTGGAAATACATAGAATAATGATTAATGAAAAGGAGAAGGATCTTCGGAAAATCGAGTTATACTCGTGAATTTTCAAGTCGGTGACACCGACCCGTCGCCAGACGAAATGAACAGAGGGGAAAGTGAAATCGGCAGACTAGGTCGGCTGGCGCGACAGGACACAACGACAAACAGACAGATGATGCGTGAGAGGGGTGGGAATCGAGTTTTGGTAGGCCGTGGGGCAGGGGGATGGAAGGAAGAACCGTTAGGGCTTCCTGTGTTGGAGGTGGAGAAAACGCGGGGGGATTGCGGATCAGTGGGAATGCGGGCGGCTGGTCACTGATGCGGGATGAGGTCAGGTCGTTTTCAGTTGTTGTTCGCCATGTCGCGGGGGAGGGGGGGGGCGGAATGGCGAGACAGCATACGTCTATGTGGCCGAGTGGGGGTTAGCAGTTGTTAGAGTGTGGGAACAAGACTGTGAGCGTGTACGTAAGCCCTCTTAGTGAGCGTCTAGATCGACGTGGCGGCTGATGCCAAGCTTCGAGGAATTCTCGCGCCTGTCTGGTGTTAGCCCTTGCGATCACTTCAGTACAGTCCCAATTGAAGCGGTGGTCATGTTCAAGGGCGTGTGCAAACACAAGGGACAGAGGGTAACGTCGGCGGAGTGCTAACTTGTGCTCGTTAATGTGAGTCCCAAGACATCGGCCTGTACGGCCAATATAAACAGAAGGACAGTTGGCGCACGGTATGCGGTAGAGGACGTTACTGAGTTGTTCTTTGGGCACTGGGTCCTTTATTCGACATAATGTCCCGCGTAGGGAAGATGCGGGCTTATGGGCAATGGAGATGCCAAAGCGTTTTAATTGTCGGGAGAGTGTTTCGGAAATTCCCTGAATGTATGGCAGTGAATAGAATTTCTGTGACACTCTATCTCCATTAGACTCGGGGTTTGGTGGTTATCTCTGGCGTCTGAGGCAGTTCTTTACAAAACTGGTAGGATATCTGTTGGACCGGAATAACCGATGTAAGTAGACCAATTCCTTCTTAAGTAAGTCATCACTGTTGCAGATGCGATAGGCCCGATGGAAGAGTGCGGATACAACTTCGTTTATGGGCCGCCGGATGATTGCCCCCATAGTTAAGTATGATTTCAGCACTAGAGTCCTTTCTGTGGACGCTTGTTGCTAGTTTGCCGGCACGAATTCTTTGTATACTCACATCTAAGAACGGGAGGGTATCTCCTGTTGCTTCTTCGCGAATAAACTGTATAGCCGGAGATAAGGGTCTAAGGACACAGTTAGACATCGGTCGGTAAGTTCCTCGCTCCTAACACTGTTCAAATACGCCCATGTTGAGCTCGTTGTGTACTGTCGTATTTCCCCGATGTGACCGCGTTCGCCGACCACAGGAGTACTCCGGCGACGACCCCTTTTGGGTCTTGTCTTCGGATGCAAAGAACTTTCGCATACAACGAGGTGACAATGATGAGGTTACTAGCGTGGGCCGCTTACAGGCTGGTGTTCCTAAAGTTCCTCAACAGCCCTCCCCTATCTCATGCCCTCTGTTCCAGACTGCAATATCATCCTCCATCGTTCCCTCCTAGCAGCATATTGTCAGGCCTCCACACTTATCTCTCCAGTCTACACGGACAACAGTCGGTTGCGTGTGGTGGAAAAATTGCTATCTGTCCTTTGAGATGCTTGCACTCTCTGTCATAGTAAAGGCTGTCCTGCCAATTCTGTCTACCTGGATTTTGATTTGGAAAATTAGTCCTTGACGACCGTCGCACTAAGAACTTCAACCTGGGTTGTCTTCAAAGGTGAACTGACGAGAACGGATTCTAATCACACAGAGTCCCGAGTCTACGGGAATCCGAAGTATCTATACCATATTAAGGTGGACCGTTGATGGGGGAGCTTTTCTGTGGAGATGTCTCTGCACGAACTCTCGTGCGACTTGGGGAAAAACGATGATACAAGAACAACTTGAAGTCAGTACATAGCCTTGAGCCTAAAGCAGAGACAGGGAAGACGCATGAAAAAAATTAACTGGCGTATAAAATGTCGTAAAAGTTGCGACATCTTTATTCGAGACCAATTAAACAGTAGAGACGGGGACGGGAAGACAAGAGCAGGATGTCGCGGGCCAAAGCCGCCAACGTCATCAACTCCTGATCCTTATAGGTACGTTTCCACTATAAAAACCTGTTCAACGCCCAATATAGCCTTGTTAGACACCTTTTGATTCACCCTAATGTAAGCGCAACCGATCACTCTCACCAACATCAGAGTAGAACTATAGCGTCTAAATGGTGAGAATATTCAGGGCGCTACAATTACCGGATCAAATTTCGTGTTGCAAAAAAACGAGGGTTTATTATGTACAGAACCCTGCTTGTTCTCTCAAGTGGTAGTGGCCACTGACGAAGCCTGGGCTAGTGCTGACTGCGTCCACTCACACCTGAGGATTAATGAGACAGTGGGGTAAACTCGAAGGGTGTCCAATTGATGCGTGTGTCACAATTGCCGAGCGGTGGTGTTTATGTGGCTTATGTTGTGCCCGCAGAGGAGCGGTCTTTTCAAGTGGCGCATGGGCGGCTATGACCCTGCGAACCACGCGTGCGTCAGAGTCGCTCGAGTGGCTGCTGGCCAGCACGTCTGGGACCACTCGCTGCGAAGGATAATAACCTCAGGGCAACGAGGCCTTGAACAAAGACGCCAGATATGACCATGATGGATGTGGGCAGCAGAACCTTCCTGCCCGCCTTCCGTGCAATGCTGTCTTCCTGTTTCGGTCCATTGAAGCCAGATACCTTCAGAATCGTCAAAATGATGAAATTGTCTAAAAACGGAGCGCAACGGTCAGAAGTACAAACGCGGTGTAATCGTGCCAACCGCATTTCGGC